AAATTGATGAAGGAAATTACTTTTAAGCGAAACAATTTCTAGACATCCTCATGATTTAAGAAAAAAGATGCTAGTTATATTTTGAGATTTAAAGATGTGCACATCCAAGTATTGTCTGAAAAACTGTGCTCATGATTCTAGTTTAAGAAATCAGTCAAATGAGGTAAGTTTCATACTACGCATGTATAGCTCTAAACGACAGCTCTAAGTACTACGGATGACAATTCTAAATAGAAATCCAAAAGATTCTATATTGTTTGAAGAATGAATAAAATATGAATAATATTAAGCAATGCCCAGCTATAGTGAGATAAGTAGCTTCTCGGCCAGAGAGTGGCAGGGAAAGACAAGGTTGCCAGATTTAGAGTGAAATCGCCCATTTGGCGACAGAATTGGCAGAGCGAGAACATTTTAGAACACATTCTTGGCGGTTTTCCTCGGGAATGTTATCGAAGGTAGGATCAAGCTATATACACTCTGCCTGTACGCTGAGAAAGTATATATTTTGAGTTAAGTAGTAGTGTTGAATTCAGAGATTCGATTGAGAGCGAATGAACCGAGTCGGAAGTGCTTCGCCGTGAAGCTTTCTTCACTGATTTAGCCTGTAGGCTGTGTTGCTGATTGTTTCAGCGTGTTTATCATGGTTTTTCAACAACTGTAAACGTATCTTTGGAATTCTCCTGTGTAATACTAGCGAATAAACTGGGCAGTGCCTTTCTTTTTTCCTTAAATATACATTGGTATTTTTACAGTTGGTGCCTTTCGCACGTACACGCTATGGAGGGCAGCTCCAGGTCTGCTTGCATATTATGTTTTAAGTTATAGCTTCGTTATATTACTCTAGGTTGTGCTGCATAGCTCAGTGCCTCTTGTGGACAGGAAGCTCATTAATAATTATAATTTTTTTTCGGAGATGGATGTTCTTGGCAGCGTATCTAATAAAGGGAGTCACTTCACTCTCTGGATTCAGGACTTTTAGATGATGTTCAGTTGTAAGGGAAATTAGAATATATAATGTTCGGGACTGCCTCTTTCTCCACATGCACATTGATCTGAAGTTGCTAGTTTTCCTTGCATAGAAGTACGTGGGAAAAGATCCATGACCTGATAAGAACCACGTTATTTCTCTAGTTACTAAACTGGGAGCTGTGCCTACTTTTGGGAACAACTGATAAGTCCTTCTTCCTTCTTCGGCGTTGTCCCACCAGTTCTGCCATTCAGCTTTAGATTTGTTGGTTATGATTTTTTAAGATGCGAGCCAGGCCATGGTACTGATAAATTTTGTGCATTTTGACCCCTAGCTGCTTCTTTGGCTAGGATGTCAGCCTCCTCGTTGCCTTTTGTCCCTGCATGTGCCTTCAGCCAAGTGACAAAGAAGTGTTGATTTTGTGATGCTGAAGTTCTTTCTGTAATCTCCTGGATTAATTTTGATCGGTGGCGCGGGTTTGCAATGGCGTGCATCGCTGAAAGACTGTCTGTAAATATATGTGCTGCTTTTAGGGAGTTTGTGATGCTGTATTTCACTGCTTTAAGGAGCGCTACTGATTCCGCTTGGAATACACTATTTTGTTGATCTAGGTGGAACTTCTGTTCTGTTGTCGAATTGGGATCTAGGTAGATTTTGATTGCGCTTTACCTTCTTCTACACCGGAACCATCTGTAAAGAGTTGGGGGAATTTCTTTTCGCTTACTTCTTTTTTATGCTTAATGTGATATTATATTTTTTCCTGGGTGGTGTTCATATGGGTATGCCGATGTCTCGTAATTCTCTGCTAAAAGTTCTAATGATTTTTAATGGCTCTTCTTTCGTAGTTGTCTTATGGAATTCTTGTTCAGCGCGTATAAAAAGTTGAGTGCTGTTAGCGATTTGGAAGAGTGCCGCATTTGATGTTGTTCTGTAGCTTCCTGTATAGTTAAGAAGGAAGGGTCGCTGGACTGTATGAAGCTTTTTTTGCTTTCTTTTTGTCATTGGTTCTGCCCATATGGCTTTTCCACGGAACAGCCATATGGGCAGAACTACCATACTATTGTACGGTTCCATACTATTGTACGGTTCCATACTATTGTACGGTTGTTACTTATCGATTTCTGTATGGTAGATGAGGTGTTGGATTGGTCTGCTCATTCCCCATCCTATTCCGTTCATTTGCTTTAGATTGGTTGCTATTTTGGAGGTCTTGCTTTTAATGTAGTCTAAATGGTCTATAAAGTTAAGTTTTTTTTATATCAATGATGACACCCAGGTATTTTAGAGAGTTAATAATTTTTACTTTAATTCCTTCTATTTCGAATCTTGGAAGTTTTGTTATCTTTTGTGAGGGTTTGTGGATAATTAAGGCACGTGATTTTTCTTGAGAAATTAGCTTTTGTTGTTTGCAAAGAGAGTTAAAATTTTCTAATGTGCTGTTTACATTTCCTTGTAAATCATCTCTGGAGCTACCTCTCACAACAAAAGCTACATCATCCGCAAAAGCGGTGCATTTTGAGTTGTTAGGGCCATTTGTGCTTTATGACTTTGTCAAACATAAGGTTCCAAAAATCTGCACTTAAGCAGGACCCCTGCTGGTAGCCTCTGACTTGTACTTTTTCAATTGTAGGGTTGTTACTTATAATGACGCTGCGTCTGTCGGTGAAGTAATCTTGAAAAATTTTGTAAATGTTTTTTGGACAGTTCATGTATTTCAGTGTGCTTAAAACCTCGGGCCACCAGAGGGAATCAAAGGCCTTTTGGAGGTCTAGACACAGTACCGTCCAGTGCAGATTCTTTTACCTGCTCTAGAACATCATTGATTGCATGTATAGTGCTCATATTCGGGGAGAATCCCGAACTGGTACGGGCTTGCTGCGTTGGACTTGCTTATGTGATGTCTGAGGCCGTTCGCTAGGGACTTCTCTCAAGTACTTTCCCTATTGCGGGAATAAGGTTTATTCGGCGGTAAGAACCTGGGTTTGATACATTCTGGCTATTTTTATTAAAAAGAACTATCTGGCCTATTTTTAAATTTGTTGGAAAGAGGCCTGTTTCTAGACATTTATTCATTAGGTTGAAAAATAGATAGGGAAAGTTCTTGTGCAGGGTCTTGATGAGTTGGTTATCAATCCCGTCCGGCCCAAGTGCTCTTTTGTTTGGCAGGATCTTAATTATTTTTTTAATTTCAAAGGAAGAGAATTTTCAAATAGAGTCTTCTTGCTTGAAAATTACGTATTTTATGAATTTCAATAGACACTGTATTCATGTTAAAAGATGTCACGAGAAATTCGTCAAAAAATTTACACTCTTTTACTTAATCTTAAAGTGCAGCCGACCAATCATTCAACAAATATACTGCCGTTCGAACTTTCTGAAATACCCTGGTATAAAAGCTATTAGGAAAAAAAATAGCTTTTCATAAAATTTTAAATTAAGTAAAATGAAGAAATTTAGAAATTTTTAACAAAATATCCTTGTTAAAAAAACCATGAAAATAAGCAATTTGAATAACACAAATTCTTAGTAAATTGCATTCAAGAATTTAAGAAAATTATGTTTTTGGATATTCCTCATTGTGTTTCAGTACAAAACAAAATCTAAAATGCAATTTTTTTTTATTATACATGATTCTATTTTCACCTGAATAATAGTTTTGTGAAATGAATTTCTTTTTCTAAGAAGATGATCTTAATTTTTTAGTTCAATGTATTACCATTTGGAGCAAAATATGTTAAAGAGTAGATAAATATATATTCCCCCCCCCCAAATCATATTTTATATTTTCAGTTTTGTACATGAAAAATATTTAGCATGTTTTTTGAAAATTGCGTATTCTATAAATTTCATGAGACTGTATTCCTGTTAAAAGATGCTACGAAAAATTCGATACCCTAAAAAAATTTACGTTCTCAAAGAGTAGCAGACCAATCATTAAGCAAACATACTGCCATTCGAACTTTTTGGAATATTCTGGCATATGATTCATTACAAAACTTAGTTTTGCATAAAATTTTAAGTAAAATGTAGTTTTAACTTGGCGTTGATTTTAATCAAACATTCCTATATTTACAAGAGTATGGCATAGATCTTTGCTTCCTTTTTGTTTAAAGATCCATAGTGCAGTCCTTTAACATGTTTAGATATTTTAACAACACTGACAGATTACATCTGTGACTACTATAAGAATTAGTGTTCTTTTTCATCTGTTCTGTTTTCAGTTCACAAAATTTTCATATTGTTAAATTATCAAGCAAAAACTACTTTTTCTTGCCTTATTAATTATTACAATTTTCTTCATCAGATACTGATATTTATCATTTTCTGCAGTCCATTTTTGTATTTCCAATATCACTAATTAAACGTATATACATGGAAAAGATAAAATCAATAATAGCATTTGTTTTCCTGAATCTTTGTGGGTTTTCTCATACAGAATTATGTTGGTGTCAGATATACATCAAAAACTCAGCTTTCTGTCTTTTGTGCTGTACTTTAACATCGATTTTAAATTATTTAATTTAATTAATGACAGCTAAATCTTTGCTTAGCAGCTTCAAGATAATTCTATGGTATTTAAGTATCATAGCAGGCTATTAAATGTGATAAAATTTTAAGAATTTATTTCCAAATCATTCAGTATATATATATTAATTTTTAATTAACCGTTTTTCCCTTTACCTCTACTCTCATAAATCATTTTTACTCACTTCCAAGAAGTTTCAGTTTCTAGTAAATATACAAAGAGAAAGAATCTAAACGAATTTTGTCAATTTAATAAAGAGTATTTTATTTTATTATAAATTACATTATTCATAAATAAGAAGATCTTAATGTATTTATTTCCACAGACAATAATGAGAAATAATCAACTGATAATAATAATATGTAATATGAAATACTCAAATGATAATACTAATATAATATTGAAGTTATAATAATGATAATAATAACATGTAATATGATAACAAATTTAGAAATAAAATAATAGTAATAATAATGTTGAATAATTGATAAGACCAATATTGAAATAATCAATGAGACAGAATAAAATATCTTAGATAACACACATGAAATTATATAAATTGTGTAATATATAAATGTGATCAATGTTATACTTTTCAAGTTTCTTAATATTTAGAGAGATAATTTATCATTTAAGTAAATTACAGAGGAAATCACTTATAAAAATTGGTATAAAATAAGCAAAATATATTTTAAAAGGTTACTAATTAATTGCATTAACAGGTTTTCGATTTTTAAATTTCATAAATGTAAATAAAAATACATAAGTATGGATCTACACAGCAAAACATTTATAATTGAAATAATTAGGTGTGTGTATAAAATCTTAGTACACTCTACTTAAAAAAGTTTTTAAAATTAAAATTATACAAATATTACTTAAGATATGAAGTATTTATAATATTACAAAATGTTCCTAACAGATAAGGATAAAGGGAAAAAATCAATGTATAAAATAATTAACCGTCCCAGATAAAATTACAGATTGAATGGAACTTTCCCCTCAGACGACCACGCATGGTACTGCTGATTACGGTGTTCCATAGAGGTGATCGCCTTACAAAACATTCTTCTCCGTCACGTTATTTCTTTATAGTCTCAGAAATTCTGAGGTCAAATAATGACGTTCCGTTTAGAAAGCGGACAGTATTAAGAAATTTCAATACATTTCACAAGGCAAAGTAGTATAATTCGCAAAGACAAGAAGTAAAAGAAACTGTAAATAGAAAATTCCATTTCAAAATACCTTAAATTTTTCCTCGAACGATTGCCATATTTCCAAATAGTTTTGGTCTTTTGTGGAAATGCTTGTTTTACATAACATTATAGTTTTCAATACAGTTATGTTCTTAAGTACACTTTGGAATATTTTATCTTAAACAGCTGGTTCGCACGAGAGGTTTCATAGTATTTACCAGCCTAGGGTTTCATTTTTGTACCTAGGTTGGTAAGTACCACCACCTTTCGCTATAACGAATGATTTTAGCACTCGACACATCGATACAGTCTCTACTCAATACCGTTTGTTACCTGCCAATATAGGGGTATGTGGCATTATCCCATTCTAACAATAATGGAATTACTTTATATATATATATACTACGTATAAGATAAGCTGAAAAGCAAAATTTTCAGTATATTATTTAAAACCAGTTAGTCACAAAGAAAGCGCATCACTTTTGAATCAGCGATTTCGCCGGAACGATATCTGTAGAGGAACTTAAATCTAAGTTGGATTATTAGAACTTCTCAACAATAAGTGAGGAAAAAAAATGCCCCCACTTGCTTCTCTCTATATGTCAGATTCCGATTTGTCTTTCGCACTTCTGCATTTGTTAGAAATTTAAATGAATATTTTCCTTTATTACCGAATCTTTTTTCCCAATAATACAAAATAATGTCGTTACTTCTCTGATGTTAAAGGGCGTTTTGTAAAACAAAAAGATAAAATGTAGGAAAATAGGTGTCAATCTAACGTTCTAGACAAGCGTTTCTTAAACTATAGGTCGGGCCCCCAAATGGGGTTGCAAAGTGAAATGATGGGGTCGCGAAAATTTAATTCAGATTCATGAATTTAAAAATTTCATTAATGAGATTTTTTAAAAAAATCGCATTATTTGACATGAATGAGATTCATAATATGCCATATAAAACCCAAAATAAATTCACTGAACTCAAATTTAGATCTTGAGTTTCTACAAAAATCCTTCGAATTTCACACAATTTTTAAACTGAATTAAATATTTGTCTGTCATTCAGAACCACATATTCATGTAAAACTTATTCAGCTTTGAATGCTTCTTAAATCAAAATACCGTTTACGGGTGAAAATTGTCTAAGATGCTTTACGTCTAATAATGTCAAATATTGCATCAAGATTATATTTTTGTTACGCGCATCCGTCTCATTAAAACTTGATTTATTTCCTTAATTTTGTATATTTCAAACAAAAAATACTAGAACTACTTTCTTTTATTCATATTGTTTACTCAGGAAATAAATTATTTATGAAAACATTTCTATATTTAATTTCTGGGGCGATGCTGCCAGATAATGCGATTTTTCGCAAATTTCGTACTTTTGATAAACCTGTGCTACTGAAACTGATATCTGCGAATTTTCTGTTACTCCATCATTTTCTTGAGCTACATTTGTTACTTTAAGTTTTTTGGTATAGCGTAAAATGTATTAATTTATAATAGAAAGGAATAATCTATTTAGGCTTAAATAAAAGTTGACAACTCGCAGTTCTGCTACGGCATGTGTACTCAGTCGTTTGTGTTTACATGTATTTTACTAATTGTTTGATTAATATTTTGTTGATATGACAGTAAGATTCCAAAGTCAGGTTTTAGCTGCTGTGTGTTTTAGCCAAAGTGTGAATAATGAATAGCGTGAAAACATTTAGCACAATCTTTCAAAATGCTTGCTTAAAATAACCTATGTTTGAGAACTGGATAGAAAGAATGTAAACAGACAAAAGCTTATTGCAAGCTACATAAATGTCAACTGAGGATATATAAAACTGATTTAATGAATCATTCTTTTAATAGTAAGCAAAATTAAAGTGAAGAACATAAATCAGTTTACAACCTAACAATGTTAGATATAACCTAACAATGTGATCAAATTAACTAAAGAAAACAGCCTAAATTAACTGGGGAACTAGAACTGAAGATTTAAACAATGGAAAACTAGTAGTATGGTTTTAAGATTTTTGTCAAAACTAATATGTATTATAAAACCATTAATCAAATTACAGACTGTAAGTTATAAGACTTGAGTTTGTGGTCAGGTCATGTGGGCTGATATACTACTGGTATTATTAAAATCACGTTATCTCCGGCGTCAGGTGCAATGTTTTCAAAAAATCTCAACGACAAAAAGTTGGTGTCATGAATGACAAACGTATAAGAAGCAATGATCTAGACCAGTGTTTCTCAACCGCCGATCCGCAAAATATATTTGCCGGACCGCGAAATATCCTCGGAAATGGAATTTTCTCGGAGTTTTGTTAGTTTTATTTTCGATGCAATATTTTAAGTAAGTTTATTGTGCATATGTAAATTATAACAAATAAAATGCTTTAAAAATTATATTTGTCTTCATGAGTTATTTATGCGAAAAAATTGTGCGAATGAGTCGAATTATTAAACGTACAAAAATATTTTACCGGTTCTTGGAGTAAATCCAGTTGAGAAATACCGATCTAGACGATATATTTCGTAGGAGAGGGTTTTTATGAGTGTTAGTAAAATCGACCTTTTCCTTAAAATTTTAAGCATTTTTGAATAAATATAAATTGCGTTAAGCTATTATTACGTACTTCAAGTTTTTTTTTTTTTTTTTTTTTTTTTTTTTTTTTTTTTTTTTTTTTTTTTTTTTTTTTTTTTTTTTTTTTTTTTTTTTTTTTTTTTTTTTTTTTTTTTTTGTGTGTGTGTATATATTCACTAACGTTTTACATATATATTCACTGTAAGATTCGCTATTATTATGCTGAGTTTGGGAGAAACCGGCAAGTTCAAAAGTCATGCGCTCCCTTTTTTAAATGGTTCCATCCTGAATATTCGAGAAGCGCTGTAATATCCTGAAATCTATTAATGGAAATACATGGAAGACAAAATCATTTTTTAAGGTTTAATTTAGTGTAAAAAGCAATGAAGTGAAAAATTCTGAAATAGTAATTAATGTCAATGCTTTACACACAGAATAACAAATGCTACAGTAATTAACAAAATAACTAAAATTATCGAGCATTGATTATGAAATTCATAAAAAAGTAAAATAATACAAAATTCCTAATAAATCAGAAAAAGCATTCTAGAACCATTTAACTAAAAGATAAGCATTCTTAGACATAACCCTGCAAGTGTTCATAAAATGCTTGCGCCAACATCCTATTTGGTTTATACCAGTCCGTAAATACGTCGTGAAAACTCTCAGAGTATTCACAGTCATGACGATGAATAACGTCCTCCATACTGCAGCTTATGATGGTCTGTGAAACTGAATACGCTTTCTCTGGTAGACTGGTATGACGAACATTCGTCGTTTTGTGCATCATTCGTCTTTTTGCTACCTTGGGATCATCATTTTGCATCTGAAAAAGACACATCTCTCAAAAATTTAATAAAACAAAAATTAGGATTTGAAGCAAAACCGAAGAACGAAATATAACTTACACGTAGAGACGTTATAATTTGAGCTAATAAATATGCACATACTAGCTTTTGAATTATTTTAAGATAAAATTATTCTTAAAAATCTATATCTTAAAATTATTTGCGAGTATAATTTCCGACCGCAAGAGCAGTCTTGTTCTTTTTCCTGAAACTCTTTAAAAAGGTTTCTGGTCATAGATTTGCGGATTATTCTCTCCATTTTTGTAAAAATAATTGAGCAGGTGTGTGTGTTTATTAATAATCTTTTAAATAAACCTCTTTTATTACCTCATAGGTTGCCAATTTTTGCATATATGACATATATTCAATCGTTTGGTGCTAAGGCCGAAAAATACGCTTGTAGCGAATAGTTAATACATCAAGAAATAATGCAATTTATCTTATTTTTATATTACAAACGGATTATTTCCAGATATCAGATACATTTTTTCCACATCATTTTTGCTAAACGTTTTACAGATAGAAGTTTGTAGATAGTTTCGCAGACTCTAACCAAATGCAAGATCATAACCATAAAAAATTTTAAATCTGATTTTTAAAACATTTTTATACAGTACTTTATGACGTTAAAATGCACTATAAGTTAACAAGAATGCTGTGAGCTCTAATGCGAAATTCACTAAAATAAATGTTCAATGATTTTCTAGACTTCTTAAAAATAGTTATCAGAACGTGGAATTCTTTGCAACGAATTCTGCGCCTTCATAATGAAAAAACATTATTAAGGCTAGCATTCATATTGTGAATCAATTTGCAGACATGCACAAGCTTTCCAGCATGGATGTAACTGAAGTACAGCAACAGCAACCTGAGTTAAAGAAGTTCATACTAATTTACAGGCTTAAAATGACATGAGATTATTCCTTAATCCATTGGAAAAGTAATTGGAACTGTTTAATGCTAATCAAAATAGCAATGGATTAGTATTTTAATAGCATGATATTGACTGACGTACCCAAATTTTGTGCACGAGATAAAGAGGGAAAATATAAGATTCTAAGCATATAATTAGGTATGTATTTAAAATCTTTCAACCTAAGAACTGTGAAGCAAACAGGTCTTTAATACACATATTAGCGAGCTCCTTGATGAGATTGTTACTTCCCACTAAATGAATTGAAGAATACCTTTCCGAAATTCTAACCTTTGTCGGCCACGAAGTTTTCTGTTAACAGAGTTGTTCAAGAACATAACCCCAATAGAGTATAAATAATAGTTGGCGTCAAATGATAATGATAGATGGCAAGTAAGGGGATAAATTGGACTTGCATGGAAACGCACAAAATGTTTATAACAATAATTCAGCTCTTTCTTATACAAAAAAGACTTATTTTTAAGATTTGAAACTTCCAGGGCTATTTTTACCAAGAAGACATATAACCAACTCAGAAAGAAAGAATTAATACAAGAAATGAAACCTAAATCCCCAACATTACCCGTTTTATAGGTGTGATACACCAGAATTTATTATGTCAAGAAATCCTAAATGTACCTTATTCGAAAACACTGATTCATCTCATTCTGAAGATATCCAACTGAATACTTTTCAGTGCTTTTCTCTTAACGAATAGTCAAAAAATTCCTCTGACGATGTCGTTGGATAGAATTTAGGGTATCCACCGAAAATATCGCGGCAAAAACATAGCGAAAAATAAATGCCACAGTAAAACATCATTGTACAAAATGTTTTGTTAGAGAAAAGAAGAGTATTGTCAGAGAAAATTATGCAGCATCTAAATTTCACAGTTTGAAAACAACATGAGTGAACAAAATATCACGGTAGAAAATAAAGCACCTAAAAAACATCGAGAGATAAAAACATTGCAGAGATAGTCAAAATACATGTCTAAATACTTATTGGTAGTCAAAATACACTGACTACCAATAAGTATTTGGACACCTATGCAAATCACGATATCTGCGGTCCTAACTAAGGTACGTTACGGACTCCGCCGGTACATATCGTGTAGGAAACAGCATCGGCTTTAGGCGCATGCAAGATGCCTCGCAGTTCGGAGCTCTTTGATTTCTAGAAAGATATAATTATCGGGTATCACAAATGTGGCCGATCCTTACGGGACATATCTAGCGATCTGAAGTACCCAAAATCGACCGTGGCCTATGTTATTAAGAGGTGGAAGGGGAGAGGTGATTGTCGGAATGTGCCCCAAGTCGGCAGACCAACGAAACTGGGAGATTGAGACCGACGAGTGCTGTCCACAGAAATTCGGAAGAACCGCACACAACCGATGGCTCTCATCCGCGAGGAGTTTCAACAGGCATCCGCCAGTATTCTTTCAAAGAATACCATCTGTAAGAAAGCACATCTGCTTGGTTTTCATGGTCGTGCTGCTGCCCATAAGCCTTTGACCACAAAGTCCAACCGCGCTGCTCGGTTAATGTGGTGCAAAGCACTCGAAAATGGATACTAGATCAGTGGAAACGGGTTCTTTGAAGTGACGAATCAAGGTTCACCCTTTACCGTTCGGATGGCAGTGTCTGGGTTTGGCGTCTACCTGGAGAACGTCTCCTGCCAGAATGCATTGTGCCAACAGTCAAGTTCGGCGGAGGTGGAATTATAGTCTGGGGGTGGTTCTCCTGGTATGGGCTGGGACCCTTGGTCCCCATTCATGGTAAGCTCAACTCCTGTGCCTACTGCACTATCTTGGATGACAATGTGCTTCCTACGTTGTGGCAGTTTTACGGGTTGGACCTCTGTTACTTTCAGGACGACAATGCCAGTTGTCATGTTTCGACGTTAACCAAGGCTTGTATGGTGCCAATGGAGTTCATCGAATGGACTGGCCTGTCTAGAGTCCTGACCTGAACCCTATCGAGAACCTCTGGGACGAGTTGCATCGCCGAATTCAGGGGTGCACTACCCGTGCAAAATCGGTGAAGGAACTTCTATGTCTTCTCCAAGCCGAGTGGAAGAAAATACCACTAGCTGTTATACAAAGACTTGTGGAAAGTATGCCCCGGAGGGTCCACGCTGTAATTACCTCTCGTGGAGGCTCTACCAACTATTCATTTTGAATAGTTAGTTTTTCGTTCCTATCACAGGTATCCAAATACTTATTGGTAGTCAGTGCACTAAGTCCAGCAAGTAACAAATTTCTTTTGCGAAGCTATTCGCTTAGCTTCCGCACACGGCTGCATTTATGCATGTCTAAACAGAAAGCATACTTAACCCCCATGCATTTTATTTACCTGCTTAACCATCATCATTACATTTACATATACATTTCTTTTCTTCTGTTACCATCTGGAAGCCGCATGGTTCAGTTAAAACATTGCATGAATGAAATAAGACTTTTTCAGTCAGATAATTCAGAAAAGAGAAATATAGTCGATATATTTAACTGATCAAGAATACTTTATTTCGTATTTTGTGATAATGTGATAAAAATGTGTGTTCATACTTATATGTTTTATTAAATTTAAGTTTTATAATTATTCGGTCTACATGTCTATAGATTTTTGTCTTATGTTGTTACAATTTTTTTAAAAGTATTAATTTCTATACTTGAAGCCCTTTATAAAATTCTTCAAACTAATATCTCAATGTTTTGACATATTAAATTGTATAAAAAAGTAATTTACCAAAGGATTCTCTTCATACATGTAGAAATCTTCATCACTTGGTTTTCGTTTTCGAGACTGTTTATCCGGCAAAGTACTTTCTCTTGTTTCGTCAGCGTAAATTTTATTAATACGTGCATCTTTAACTAATGTCACAGTGTCCTTCAGTAAATTGGGTGTAGAAGAGGTATCATGTTTCTTCGTCAAAATCAAATCATCCTTAAACAAATATGAGATATTTTATGAAGTTATGTAGATTTAATATTGCTTAACATGTATTCTTAAAAATACGTATTTACGTAATAGGTTTTTCTCTTGATTTTTCATAGCATATTGTTTAGACAGATAGTTATAGTTACAGTTTAGCACAAGAGAGCTACATAAAGATCTATTCCATAGAATGTGAAGAACTTAACAAAGGAAACTAGTTCCATATTTTTTGCTACTTTTACAAAAAATTATAACACACCTGAAGTCAACCCATTTAACCAGGCGGAAATAAAAGCAGGCAAATGGCGTTATATAATTGTATAAAAATATTCAATAGGTTTCCAAGATTCTATAGATACCTGACTTACCGCATTTTTAGATGAATCATTTTCTTTTAAACTTGGCTCATTTGAGACGATATGCGTGGTTGAAAACTCTTTAGCTATATTTTTTACAATCGACCGCTTACTTGCTTTGCTTATTATATTAGGTTTCACGGGTGTTCCCTCTGGTATGGTCAACTTCTTTTTCCTGCAATCCGCAATCTATTTTTACATAAATTAAGAAAAAACCAATCAGATTTTATAAAAAAAAGCTAGATAAAACATGGAAAAATATACAGTTATGAAAAATGTCATTAAAATTTTCATTTTTTTTTTGTTTTGTACTTACGATAAAGTATCTTTAAAACAGACCTGAAATATTCCGAATCAAATAAATATGAATAAAATCATTTCTAGAGAAATAATCTGATAAATTTCTTACAAGCCATTCTGAGGCATTTATATTCATTTTCCTTTACTTCAGCGGAGAATTTCATTATGGCATCTGGTATGAATTTATTTTTTTTTATGTTATAATTTAGATAATTATAATATCAATAGAAGACATTTCTTTTGCACTGAGATTTTCTCCGGGTTTCGTCCATTTTTTATGATTATGAAATGCAAGTTTAATAATGGTGAAATGCAAGTAAAAATAAGTTTAAGAAAGACCTCAGTAGTGACGTTTGAAATATTCCATTTGACTAGATTTAACACCGTCTAAAATGTAATGCAAGGAGCTAGTGATTAAAACTGAACAGATCTATTATCTTGAGTTATGGAACACGAGGACTTCAGCAACATTTTGAGTTTGATATCATTTCCATTTTATTAACAGAAGATTAGTAGGTGTTTTCTAATCTGTAAGCTTAGATGATTTCCAAACTACACTTTACTCAGAGTTGAATTTCAAGTATCTAGACATAAAATTAATTAACAAACTAATTCTATTTTCCATCATCTATTAATATAAATAAGAGGATATGCCAAAAAGAGAGTCATTTTGACAGAACTTTCATTACTGTCAACAATACATTTTAAAGAAGAGAGCATTAAAGAAATCCTTATAAGAGAATAGCTGTTACAAAGTCTTCTGTTCTATAAAGGGATGAATTTTAGGCTAAAAATTAATTTATTTACATAAATCTTGCTTTAATTAATATTAGTATAACAAGAAAGGAAATTCCTGACTGTCAGTGCAAATTGCACATACCACAGCCTAAAAATAAAATAAAGAAAATTTTGTAGCGTTACTATCACTTTAAGGAAACGAAAATATCAGGGAATAAAAAAAAAAAAAATAAAATTACTTACCTCTGTGCATGGACGATTTGGTGGTACAGAATCTTTTTCCTCTTTGATGGAAAGCCATTTGAGACCTGTTGGTGACTTTTCTCCTACCAGTGGAGATCTAGTATTTTCTTCGCCAAGTACAGAATTAGGAGTTAATTTCTGCAAATTAAAATTCAGTGCGGAATATAGTATGAAATTTTATAAGCTGAATCAATACAAGTATACATAAATTGCATGTTATGTGTCCATAAAACTATTAATTTCTTGCAAATTAAAACTCATTGTGGAAGATAGTATGATATTTTGTAAGATGAATGAATATAAGTATACTTAAATTGCATGTTATGTGTCCATAAATCTAGCACCCTTCAGGGAAGATAATTTTAAAGTAATAATTATTATAGTTGTTCAAGTTAATAATGTTTTGAAATTTTTTTTCACACAATTCAGTATCTTCAATACGATTCATTGTTTCAATTCTATATTTCTTTTCATTTTCCAATTTAAACAAGTCTTTAGAAATACACTGAAGACTGGGAAGTTAAAAAATGGTAACTAAATAGTACAGTTGCGTTATCACGGCATCTTTCATGTTAAAATTATAAAACACTTATACTACTTTACCGCTTATTACACTGTGATACCATTTTTTTATTAAATTAACTAAAAATAATATGATATATTTTAGCTAATACAAGTTATTATTGCATTTATTTAAATAAATTATCAAGAATAGTCTGATTATTTATTTAAATAGATGCAGTTGTAGTGACATTAGGTTATTTCAGAAGCAGGAGAGATGAAAAATGAGCAATGCCCTCGCCAGAACTCGAACCACGGACCTCTCGAATACGCGTCAAGCGGGTTGACCACTACACCACGAAAGCATACTAAGAAGGCGGGAGAAATACCTTATATACTCCGTCTTTTAAAGGGCGACTGGCAGGGTTGCCACTCAAACAGGAGAATGAAATTCCCTGACTTTTCCATGGTTTTCCAGGTGCGTTTCAAGAAAATTCCAGTCTATCCGCGTAATGTACGTTGGCTACGCTAAGAGGTAAATTATGGTATTACTTGTATTGTGTAGCAAATTCACTTAATTATTCAATAAATCCCAGAGGACATTTATTCTTAATTATTCTTGGTATACTTTGTTTGATAATTTTGTTTACTTTTCCACTTAAGAAACTTAATAAAATTTAAGATATATACATTGGATAACAAATGTATGTTTTATTTAATTATTACTCATGATCATCACCAGTTCAACACGAGGCTAATCCGGTCCTTATAAATCACAACGCAATGCTAAATAGTTAGGTTAGATTTTAGGTAAATTTAATTTGTGTGAGGTATGTTCTTAAAAAGCACCTTAACACTTGAAAACACAAATATAATTATAATAGTTGTTGTTTTCTCCATTGAAGATTGAGATTAGAATCTTCCCAATCTGGAATAAAATAAGGCTTTTTTTTGCAGACATTCTGCAGCTAAACGAAACAAAGAAATCTATTTTAATAAATTGAGGTATTTTATATTTAGTTCGCAGCATACATAAGAAAAAATATGTGCATTAAATTTCGTGATGGTATGTCATCATACTGCTAGAATTAATTTCAAGATTATGCCAGAGAAAATTTCCTGAAATTTAGAAATATTATTTACTAATAATTAATAAATTTAGAGGGAAGAAGCATCATTAAATTATACGAATAACATAAAAATAAAGATAATTACTTAAAAATTGAATTAGAATAATCAACGATATTTTAGCGAATATAGTTATATTACATGGTTGGCCTAGATGATAGATTACTATTTTTTATTTTACTGCAAAATGGCAAGGTATTTATTAAAAAGAAAAGTTTAAAAAGATTTTGCGGTAAAATTCTAGTATACGGTAAGGCTTTGGCACGATTTTGAAAATTGTCGCCAAGACCAAAATGACCCGTTTACTGCGCATCATCATGTCGCCAAATCCATACATGGAGATTATTTTAACCAAAAAACGTCTATGCAAAGAATCTCTAATGTAAAGAAGAAAATTTTCCATACCAGTAAAATGCTATTACGCCGCTAGAATGCGGAGGGAAAATTTGCCAAGGGATTTGGCGACGGAACCTGGCGGCCAGAATTTCCCTCTCCGCGATGTGTACCGGAAATTGAGAAACGTGTTAAGAAGAAACGTTCTTTGACAAAAAGAAAGCTACGAAAATCCGTTTTTAAATTATTGCGAAAAATCCAAGAAGAAACGTTTTATCAAAGGACGTTTCTTCTTGGATTTTTCGCAATAATTTTAAAAACGGATTTTCGTAGTTTTTTCCCATCCCCCTGAAAATTACTAACCTATGAATTAATTTACTTGCGCCAAAAAATATTTTCTTTTAATTTAGAGTTTAACTACTTGCGCTAAGACTAAACTTCACGGTTGCGGTGCAGTGCGCTACAATATAGCAAGTGGTAAAGTGTCTCATTTACGCCGCTCCGCATCTGCGAGTGCAATCCAGAGCTGTAACTCGAGAAATAAACAATCTCGTTGTTAGGCGACGTGTGCACCATGTTATTTTCATTTTTGCGATAAATGCTTATCGACGTGGTGTTCACGTCGCTCGCAGTTTGAGACAAAAACATCTCGACGTGCTTTTTAAAGACGTGCCACGTCTTTTTAGCGCAAGTGGTTAAAGAAATTTTAAAGGATATTCATTTAATGAACTCTTGATAACGTGACCTTCGAACTTCGACACCGGTTTCCAGCTTTGGCGGCAGATATATCACGCATGCACAGCTGTTTCCCTCTATGATGGAACGGAGCTACGTATGTTGCAGAGAGGTTTTCCTTCTTTACAATACATATTCTTTGATTCTAACCTCCATGGTACCGTATACTAAGATTAAACCCATTTTGTTTTTATACGAGAACAGGTACTTTCTTTAGTTCATGCACTGCACATGCGATTCTCGAGAATACTGGAAACCAAAAGTTGCGGGAAACTTGCTTTGCCTTTCTAAAAGGCAATCAAATTGGAGCTGCGAAAATTGGCTCTATGCCAGCAGACACTCACGTGATAGGCAATTCGCCAAAAAAGTTATCTCTTCCGACGTCGGCGCAAAAATCGCTTTTTTTGGCGGGATCATTGTATGAACTTCCCTGACATTTTCCAGATTTTGACAAAAATACTTAAATTCCCTGACTTTTCCCTGAATTTTTTGGTCAATTTTCGAATTCCCTGACTTTTCCCGGTTCTCCCGGTTTTCCAGGTAGCGTGGCAACCCTGGACTGGGGATTAGGGGACCCAATCGCCAAATCCCGGTGGTGGAGAATCATCATCAACCACCCTTTTAGTTCGAGCGCCAATGTAGAGTCATTAGGATATTTTGATGCTGGAAGACATGAAAAATGAGCAATGCTTTGTCTGGGACTCGAAACACGGACCTCTCGAATATGCGTCGAGCGTGCTGACCACTACACCATGCAGGCAGCTAAGAAGGCGGGAGAAATAACTTATACAGTAATAACTTGCATTAGCTAAAATATAATCAAGAATAATCTGCAAATATTAACTTGTATTAGCTAAAATAGAATTAAGAATAACAGCAATACAGAATAAAAAATGAATATTCATATTTCTTTTTTCAAGAATCAAATATTTATCAAATACATATAAAACTGATTAAAAAAGCTTTCACAAATTTATTTGCTTTTTTCCTGCTTAAGTTTTAAATCAAAAATAAAAGCATAGACATCTATAAAATTAAACAAATAAAAATAGGTAAAATGTTAACAAATAAAAAACAGAAGATTTGCAAAATAAGAAGCACACTAAGAAAGTAATATTTGTTTCTTTATAAAAAAAAGAACGGAAGAAGTTATTGAATACTTTTATACATTTACTATGAAACACGATATAATTAAGAACATAATAAACTTTTAATTTATATTATTCATTACTGAGAAGGAAGGGGAAGAGATAAGCATTTGAAAAATGTATTTAAGCTGTTTAGAAAAGTAGGTACTGTTTTGAAAAAGGAACATCAAATTTTAATGGGGCTTTCATTTTGCGAAAGAATTTTATAACATATAATTATCTTTCTCCATTTAAATATGAATGCTATGATACCTCCCTGCGCTAACAATGTACCCGATACTCCGACTGTGACCAAAAGGCTAAGAAGCGACATAGAAAGCACTGTGTCAGATGTATTTTGTCCACGTTTCTTAATTATAACCAGCTCTGAAGAATTGAAAAGAATGTAACCCTTTCTAATAAACAAACATCTTTTGTCTTCTGTAGGAGAACTGAAAAATATTAAGAGAGTTCGGCCTGGAGACCTTTTGATAGAAACTGTGTCCAAAAAGCAGTCTAATAGTCTTTTGAAACTAACTAAATTAGGACAAGCAAACATTGCAGTTAAGCCACATAACACTCTAAATTCGTCCCGAGGAGTAATCTCTGAAATAGACTTACTGTCAGTATCTGAATAGTAATTTGTTAAAGAGTTGGCAGATCAAAACGTGTGTGGCGCTCGTAGGATCAAAATACGGAAAGAAGATCAACTGATTCCCACTAAACATGTCATACTTACTTTCAAGTCTAACTGATTCCCACTAAACATGTCACACTTACTTTCAAAGTCTCCTAACCTGCCTAAAAACATCAAAGATGGATACCTAAACTGTTCAGTCAGGCCATATATACCGAATCCAATGCGTTGCTTTTAATGTCAGCGCTTTTGACATGGAAAGATCTCTTGTCGCGGTAGCCTCACGTGCGCTCGATGTTCCATCGTAGGCCATGCTAGTAAAGGCTGCTCTGCTGCCCCCTTGTGTATAAACTGTAAAGGCGAACATCCAGCTTTTTCAAGATCATGTCCGAAATGGCAGACAGAAAAGCAAATTCAAAACATTAAAGTTACACAAAAGATATCATTTACAGAAGCCAAAAGACCTGTTCTCTCTAATCAGCCAAGACCTAATAAATCTTATGCATCCGCAACAAAATCATTCAGATCAATATCAACGCAAACCACAATAACCGCACAAAAAAAGAACTAGCAATGACAGAAGATCCTAGAAACCAAAATCAGGGAAAAAAACCTGATGTTGAAAGTAGTACGCCAGTAACTACGCCCAAAGGAAAACAGGATGTCCAACAGAACAA